GTTTGTTCCTTCGTTCGCAATATATGTAACATTTGATTAAATATATGTCGCAAATGCTTTTCGGGAAACGAGGACTGGAGGCCAACGGCGCTCAACAACCGATTGGGCAACAGTTGCAGCGCGTATAACATCCAAGTGGGCGCTCGCATCAGTGGCCACGAGTGGCGTACGAACGGGTGGTCGACATCGTTATAGGGGTCAATGGGTTCGCCTAAAACGCACAGCGAGGCTGTGCTGAGCGCAAACTGGCCGAACACGCGCCTGACATCGGCGGGCGCCGAACTCTGCGCGTGCGCACGCAATTGGGGCACCAGATAATTGTCGACACACGCGGCTATTTTATTAGACTGCGATCGCGCCTGTTTAGCAGTGAACGCGGGCCCAATGGCTGCGCGCGTACGGCGCCACCGGTCGCCCGTTTGGGTCACAATGAATTGGCTCAGTAGCCAATGGCCGCCTTGAGTTACCGGATACTTTGAGTTGAACTCGGTGAACTCTGTCATCATTATTTGTTTAATTACCGCCGGATCCGCCACTTGTATTATCGGTCGACTGCCTTCGAATATACTGCGAGTGTATGGAAATAAATAATTACTTGTTTATTAAATACAGTTTAAAGTCTAAACTTTAGACCATAATGCTACTGAATTTATTGAGAAATACCCGAATAGTGGCTAACGTAGAGCATCGCTGTGTTTGAATTATTTTGTAAATTCATGATATGCAAAACTAATGAACTCAGCTAGTAATTGAAAAATTATTCACTACTTGTGGGAACACTATTATGTATTATTAATACTGGGATTTCTATTTTATCACTACAACTTAAGTACTCAAATAATGCACACTATTCAGCTCATTATGAATATTTTCATTTCAGATAATTAATTATATTATTCAAAACAATTTAAAATACAATGTAGTTTTTAGCTTCATATTTACCCATAAATTTTGCCATATTTTCTCATTCTCTGGACTTCGAGATCGGGTTTGGAAGCAAAGAGTTGGTCCAAATGGTTGCCAAATATAATCACAGGTTTTGGTCCTTTTAAACCCAGTTTTTCAAAAAATCCAAAATTACGACTTAAATACCTATTATATTAATTAAAATAAACAAGTTAATATTAATGTAATACACATTCATTTAACTATATATTCTACAGGTTGTTTGTGTTAAAATACAGATTTTTTCTAGCACTACATAACATTAGTTTAGTCGGTTGAACTAAACGGCAAAGTGCTGAGAAAGCAATGCCTGTATTACTTTTATTCAATTATGAAAATTTTAATAATAATGTAAAAAAATTTAAATTATTAAAATTGTTTTAATACTTATAACTGAAGATAACAACAGCGGATATAACGATAACTTCAAAAAGCCACGAATAAAATGGAAAATATTCCAACATTATAAATAATATTATATCTATGTTTGTAGCTAAATAAAAAGCTTTAACATAAAATGTTAATTGTATCTTGAGTAGGTTAGTGTGGTCTGTATAAATACCTCATGATATTTTACTTAATCATTTAAAGATCGTTTATTATTTAGACATTTGATTAATTATGATTAATTATTTATTTTTACTTTTATATGTGCTGTACTTAAGGTTAATTACCGTAAAGTCATCTTAAAGTTAAACAACTCACAAACATACAAAAAATAATAATAATAGGATTACTTAATTCAGTTCATAAACATGTAGGAATGATTAGTAAAAATGTCAATTTAAAATGAATTGTTTTTTTAAAAATAAAAACAATAATGCCATTATTTTAAAAATATGAAGTAATAATTAATTTTAACATATACATTATTATAAAGATTGAAAAAGCTAATTTCGTAATTAATTTCATTATGAATTTATACACTTTCATGTCATCTTAAATTAATTTCTGTTTAAAAAAACTTTTTTAATTATGGTAAAATTTTATTAATTTAGACTTATTCATTTACTATTATAGTTTATTGAAAGCATTTTGACTTTACCGGATTTAATGATTTGCAACATTATATTAATTTCAAAATAAACAAGGTTGACACAGTGATGCTATACGTTAACCACAATTCGGGTATTACACACTGCAACGTTATACGTTAATCGCATGGACTAATGATAAGTCTATGGACAATGCTAAATCTATAACAATGTTTAGTCTATGGTCTTTATGGGTGCTAATCATCATTGAAACTCAGTAATAATTAAAGCCTCTAAATTTCGGGAACTCCCGAACAAAATTAGTTTATATAAGTATCGCAAATTACATAGCGTTAGGTTTATGAGCCAAAATTATATATTTTGTAAATTAAAAATTTGAACAAATAAAGTAATTGTCATCTTATTTGTAAATAATGAAATGTAAGAAATATTCTTAAAATTATGTTTTAAAATATTAAAAATAAAGATAACATTGACATTGAACCGTGCAATGAGAACAATACACTCATGGTATTAATTGTTTTAGTTCTAATGATAATTTGTTTTTACTACTTTTGTATTCACTAAATGTATATTAGTTAAAGTGTTGATTGTTATTAGAATTTGTGCCAATAATGAAATAATAATAATTTATAAAACTTACATACATTTCGAAACACATCAAAACATTTCAGATCCTGAAAGTGGTTATAAACCTTAATAATTATAATTAATGTCTAAATTTATTCGTTAATAGTGAGTTCATATATAGGACTAAAAAACAATTAATTTATTAATTATAAGCATCATTTTGCAGAGCGGACACAATCGGGCAATTATAAAATTTAATTTTTAATAATATCTCCACTAAATCTACACAATGTATCTTCTATCTTTATAAATATATACTTTTGCAATTCCTTAAAGTACATTGTAATTGTTGTCATTAATCATTGACATATTAAGAAAACTTATTATATTTATTATTTTTTATTTTTCATAATAATTATACACTTTTATTACATGTAATTATGGAATATATTAATAACAGTTGATTGTAACAAGAATTGTGTCAATCATTGAATTATTTCAAAACATATCAAATGCTTTCATTACTTGAAACTGAATATAAATCACAAGAATTAATATCAAAATTGTTGCCAATATATGAGTACTATTTAAGTGCTATAAAACAGTGACTATAATATTAGTAATGATCATGAGGTTATTAGACTAATAATATCATTTGTCGACAATAGAATACACTAACCCCTTCTGACCCCCTTCACCTAGACAAGAACCATGAACCATGGTTACATATGAAAATTTTAATGTTCTAGTAACGTGATTTTAATAATATTTTTCGGGTAAAAGACTAAACATATGGATCATCATTTTACTGTTTACAGATCTGATCTAACTTATCCCGTTTGGTAAATATAACAAAGCTGAGGCACAATATTTAATGACGGACTAGATAACATCTAAATTAATTACTTATTCATTGGTGGATTAAGTTATAATGTGCTCAAAAGCTATGAGCTTATATAAATTCACACAAGTTTACACAGTAGAATTCTCATACAGTTTTTCTAACACATTCATAGTTTAAGTGTTTGTGTTTTTAAAATTGGTCAATTTGTTATTGAATGTATTCGATTAGAAAATTATGTTTATTTTATTAGGGATAAATTGTTACAGGATTTGTAAGTCCACACTCGGTACTCCAATCACCAGGTATATAATTTTGCAAACTTTTAGCAAACACATCAAAATTACATTGGCCCACTGGGTCATGTTGCTTCTGACAGTTGGGCAATTTTAATTGATACCATACTAAATCATCAATATTAGTACTGTCTGCATAAAACACCTTGACAATATAGTTGCCTTGAATTAAATGTAACTCAAACACCAGCGCCGAGCCATATGATGGTAAATAATTATGACCGTTGAGTACGCGATACATAAACGATATGTTAACATCTACAGCCATATAATGATTCACTTTGACCCTGGTGTTATTTGTGACCATTGCGATAGCGGTTTGCATGTTATTGATTAGTACGTTCACCAAAGGGCCGGAGCGTAAGCGTAATACTGTTTGGCTGTCCGAATACAGACCGTACTCTTTAGTGAGAAAGCCCTGGAGCTGAGCCATTGTTTTGCTGACCCCCATCTCCCGGAGCCACGGGGGCGGGGCTTTTGGCGGTTCGTAATCTAGTTCGCAATCCAGCGTTATGTATAAGTCCGCGAATTTAGCTAAACCCAAGTAATTGAGC